ATGGTTGTTGGCAGGAACCCCAAAATTCCAGAGGATCTGATTTAGGAAAATCCGAACCTGGTTGCGATCAGCCGTGTGTTGCACGACTCGGTGGCGGCTCGTGCTGCCAACATCCGCGCGATGGCCCGTCGCGTGATTCTTGCCCATATCGAGATGTGTGGACTCTCGTCCGAGATTGCATCGAGTGTTTCAGGCGAGAGATATGGTTGCAGTATGGCGCAAGATGAAGGGAGCCAACGCGGGAAACAGTCTTCCTACCGATGGCGTCAAGGTTTTTGCGTAGGACCTGTCCGAGAGTCCTACTGGGCGGCACTCCCCTGGAATCTGGTGAAAGCGTCCCTGGAACAGATGCGAGGCGAATCAGGAGGAACGGACGGCATGGAAACTTTTGGAAGCGGAATTGCAGACGACAGCGGTAGATCTGGACAATCTTTCTGGGCGGTATTTTTAGGATATCACCAAGGGCCCTGGGCCTCGAGAAGGAACCCCACAGGAGGAGGAGGTGGTGGATGACAGAGCGTGGGCTGTTCCTTGACCAGTAAGAGGAAATCCGACACCAGCGACACCGACACCACCGACCTCGCCAATCGGACCGACTCAGGAAACACCACTCAGCGAACCGAATCCGGTAGCAGCCTCGTCCAGGTTCCCGTTCCCGTACCCCTACCATGTTCCAGTTGGGGATCCAGCTCACCCGACGGGATCGCAACGGATGCCTTTTGGGTCGAAGAGGCCCGACCTGATTCGCTGTGCTGAGGATCAGTCGAGCTGCAGCCGTCCAAGCAGCCTCGTCTGGAGTCACCTCCAGGCCCCTCCGACTCCAGCTTGCGTCAAGCTCAACCCTCCGACTCCAGTCCTACGCCGCAGCTCGACTGTGGTGCGGTGACGTGCGAGGGAGCCGACGAGGCCCCGATGTTGGCAGTAACTGAAACCGAGGTCTCACTGGCCCGTGGGAGGAAGCAGGAGCGTGAGAAGGATCCAAGGTGGCAGGCAGAGGATGGAAGGCGACAGGTGCAGGAGGCGTTTCAGATGGAGCTTCGGAAACTTACCGTGGATCAGAAGGTCTGGAAAGCTCGCTCAATCGATGAATCGCGTCGACTTCGCCTGGAAATCCCGGATCCCATCCTACCGTCACGACCCGTGCTGACCCCGAAAGCCGATGAGGACGAACATACAGAATTACGATGCCGTCTTGCAACGCAAGGTTTTAAGGATCCGGATGTGCTCGATATGATCAGGGCTGGGAATAATCAAAGTCCGACAGACACTCTCTGCGACTGGCAACGCAACTGTGTGTTGCAGCTGGTGGCCTCTGCTCACTTTCCGTTGATCTTGCGGGACATCCGTGGGGCATTCCTGGAAGCCGATCCTGAAGAACGACACAAGGGACCTGTGTTTTTAGTAGCTCCTAAGAATCACACTCCAAAAGGACACCATCCTGACCAACTGCATGACCTTGTGGACGGCTAGATTGGCTTTGTGGCCCATCCTCTTGATCCGTGTCTATTCATGATGCTCGAGCCTGTGCTTCCTGGACAGATGATGCCAACAAAACCAACAGACAGGTGTGTCGATTGGGTCCTCTGGGGGACCACCGGAAGCACTATGTGGGCTGATGGATATACATGTGGACGATACGGTGGGAGGAGGATGAGACAGGTTGAAGACGGCGATTGGCAAACTGACACAACGGTTTTCCTGGGGAATTGGAGGCACGGTTCTGGGGAGTTCACAGGGTCCTGGTTACAATGAGATCCGGAAGGGACGATCACTCGGTTTCAGAAACAGATGCCGAGACCATGAAGCCAGTGAAATTCAGTCGGTGTGCTGTGAATGAGAGCAAAGCTCTACCGATGCAGGCGTCAGCACTGATCTCGATGAATCAGGCTGGCAATCTCGAGGCCGGACCTCTCGTGCCAGGTCAACAATAACCAACAATTACTACCGCATCCAAGTGTGAAGGAGACAAAACAATGCGAACATGCTGGTGCGCCGAACTCGTCAACATAAAGATCATATTATTCGGTACTTTCCCATTTCATTCCGGGAGCTCCAGATGATGATTCACACTGACCTCGCCAAGGGAGAAAACGACGGTCTCAAGAAAACCCATGGCTGATATGTGAGAAGTGTGACGACATCGGGGATGCAACAGAGACAATTATCGCCATGTAATCCTCTGATCTGGAGAAGTTACGGACTCAAACGGGCTATACGATCGTCTGTGGGTGCGGACGCCTCAGCATTGGCCGACGGTCTGGGAATGCTTCCACAAATTACTCTAGAAAATCGGTACGAGTTTCTGAGGCGCTTTGAGGCCACCGCGATTTTTTATATATATATATATATATATATATATGTGTGTGTGTGTAAAAACTGCGTACAATCACATTAACAAGATCGGATCCCCAGGCGCCCGTAAGGACAGGAGCTGCGCGATGGAACGTATGATTGCCCGACAGGCCCTTCAAAAGTTCGGTGGTTGCCTGATATTGGGTCCTACGTCGCTAATGCTGGCAGTTGCGCTGACCAAAGAGAAAGCAGATGCTCACGACTTACTTCGGGCATGCGTACGTTCAGGAGTGTACCAACTGGCCGATGGGTCGTCTACCTTGGAGGAAGCAGCTGCAGACAGAGAGCGCTGTCGAATCCATAGGGAAGTTTCTTCGAGCGATGTCTCGGCCGCCAGGCCCATCCTGATACCTATCCTGCCGCCAGTGTTCAGAGCATCTAGATGGTTGGTTTCTAAACTGCGGGAGATCCCCGGACAGTGCGCAGCCTCATCCAGAGCCTGACGGATGCGGAGACAGGCTAGCCTGGCATGCTGAGCTGTGTGACTGCGTCGACGAGGATGGTGGTGAAGGTCCCAGCAGGAGTACTCGACAGCGATCTAAAACAGAACCCAGAATGTCAAAGTGACGCTGAGCTACCACAACAGTAGCAACTACATCCAGATGATGTGCCGGGCGGCTATCGAGGATGCTATCGTGAATCAGATCTCGGAGCTGAAGCAGGACTACGCCGAAAAGGTCCAGAAGAAATTGGCGTGCAAGATGGAGATGCCGAGTGGATGTGGGCACCTGGACAAGGTGATTAGGCTTCCTCCGAGGGAAGTCGAGGGGCAGGGCAGGATGCAGAGCAGTGTCGCGAAGCAAGAGGAGAAGGGCTTCGTGACGATCGAGAGGCCAGATATCCCAGATCAGGACCCAACATATCAGGAGGCCATCGTTCTCACTGCAGTTTCCGTCACGCGCAACTTGCCGAACTATCCAGACCAGCGGGACGCGCTGCTGAAGGTGATGAGTGAGTCCTTCGACCTGCAGGTGATGGCCATGCTGGCGGAGGCCCAGTGCTATGACATCTAGGCTCCTAAACGGGAGCAGGTGCCAGGAAACGAGGCTCGAGGACTAAGGCTGGCCCAGGACATCAGGCAACTAGAATTTTGAGTGCATGTGGACTGCATTGTTTTGCCTGATGTCTTATGCGCGCACGTGTGTATGCACATTGCCTCGTCGCCTCGCCGTTCCGGCTCAGACCAATCTCATTAACTATCAAGAGTCAGAGCGCAGGGGAACGCTTGTTACAGGAGATAGCTGCGGGAATAGAAAAGTCATCGAGTAGACGTGCACCACGGCGTGCCTGTGGCACCAGGGCGTGCCTCGAGAGCTTGGGATTTGCAGGAGGAGAAGGATGATGATGATGATGATGAGGAGGAGGAGGAGGAGGAGGAGAAAGAGGAAGAGGAGGAGGTGGAGGAGGAATCCTACGGAAGGAGGGATAGGAGGAGAAGGTGGAAGAAGACGAGGAGGAGGAGGAGGAGGAGGAGGAGTCCTACGGGAAGACGGATAGGAGAAGGAGGAGGAGGCGGAGGAGGAGGAGGAAAAGGAGGAGTCGGAGGCGGAGGAGGAAGAAAACGAGGAGGGGCGAGGGGAAAACGCGGAAGGAGGACGAGGAGGAGGAGTGAGGGATGCAGGCTGAAAGGAAGAGAGCCTCCCTTCCGCTCTGCCTGCATCGTTCGTGAGCCTCTCTTCCATCCCTCCCGTTCGTGGACGGATTGGTTCTGCCTCCTTACGAGACGCAGAACAGGTCGTTCACGAACGTGCAGCGGTGCACACGAGCTTTCACAGATGTGGCAGTGCGTGGAAGGTGTGCGCAGTCGTACCTACAAGTTTGTTCCGCAGACGTCCCTCGGGTTTGGGATCAATGCGACCAGCAGCAGTCCATGGCCATGCAGGGATGGGTGCAATGCGAAGCTGCCCGCATGGGGCCAAAACGGATGGGGCAGGAGCAAATTGGGAGAAACAGACGGGAGAAGGAGGGTCGTCGAACGATCGGCGGCATGGATGATGCCAGCGCGCTCGGTGTAAACACGGCAAGCACGGAAACGATCGACGAAGGAGCGGGCGGCAAGCCTGCGCCTCGTTTTCGTTCAGCTAGCCGACCCTTTGACAACGAGGGCTGGTGGGAACAAACAAACCAACAAGAGACATGGGAACGGCACGGGATGGAAAGAAGGAAGGAGGGAGAGAGGGAGGAGAGAAGGATAGTGGGCGGAGGGAGGGATAGATGGAAGTGTTTCTTTCGGATTGCGCCGCCAATGAAGCAAATTGTGGCGCGCAGCTAGCATATACAATTTGACGCAGTCAGCTGGCTGCGCTCAAACGTCGAGGAACGAATGCTCTGCACGGGCACCTCAGGTCAGAGGACCCTTTCAGTGAACCAGTAAAACTTTCAACCATGGTCGAATCGGCGGCAGCGGCACAAGGTGCAGGGCGGTCCTGGACCGATGCTGGCGGCGCGACCCTGGCCGCCAGGTCGGGTCAGGCAGGGCCGCCAGATTGCGAGACTGCACGGCGAAATTCAAGGTGAGCACGAGACTGCGAGACTGCGAGGCTGCGTGCGTCATGCCAAAGTGGCATATTCTTCCTAACTGCGATCTTCCTCATCATCCACCCCATCCTCTCCCCCTCCCCCTCCTCCTGCCGGGCGGAAGAACGGGAGCCTGGCGCGCGGGGGGAGGGGAGTCGGAGCAAGACGCGTTCTGAGTTACACTGCGAAAATTGGCAACTTGAAGCGGTGGTTGGATGAGACTGAGAGGTGGCTAAGGCAGGCACGGCATATGCTGTCGAGGCACGATGCGCGGGGCGCGGGATGCGGAGGCGGGCCGCTGCTACACTGCCTCGCGCTCTGCACTATGAGTCCCTGTCCCGATCCCCCCGCTCCTTGCTTGTCATCTCCGTCTGTAGGGTCGTCTGCAGGTACGTGGGCGACGTGAGCTGCTGGGCGTGCTGCGCCTGGCCGTGCTGCAACTTCGTGATGGCTGCGATGGGGGGCGACCGATCAGGCGGAGTTCCTGGTGTCGCTCCTGACGCTGGCAGCTGCTCGAGTAACGTCTTGGCCCGTCCTCAGGCTTGCTCACGCTACTGCACCTTGGTGTCAATTTCCTCTCCTGTCTTCTAAGCTTCGTCAACCGCCTCTCGTGCCTGTTCGAGCTCACCTTGTGATCAAAAGGAAAATGAACCCCGATGCCGATCGGCCCCGCGGGGCCCCAAACATTGGGCCAGGGGGGGTGGAGTTCAAACGGCCTCAGCCTGCCTGGGAAGCAAAGAGGGAACATGCTCGGAATGCGCCACGGCCGCTGCGCCGCTGCCTCAAGAACTCAAGGGCCTCCTTCTCGCTCATCCCCCCTCCTTGCCTCTCCACTCTTTGGCAGACATCTGGGATGGGGCGAGGGGGGGGGGGGGGGGGCCAGGCAGGAGTTCAGGAGGAGTTCGGCCCGACGGAGTTTGATGATGCAGATCGTTGCTAGCGTGGCCGTATTGTAAATACAGAGTATATGTGATGGTGATGTTGGCATCCACTGCGCTGGTAAACATGGTTATGATGATGATGGGATGGCGATGTGTTACATTGACCCTTTTGTTTTATATGGGGGGAACAGCAGGAGTAGGAAGAGGGGCAAGGAGGGGGAGAAGGAGGAGCACCATGAAGATGGGACGCACGGGGGGCGGGAAGGGGGGAGTAAAAGCAGACAGGATGGGAGAGAGGGGCAGCGCGAGAGATCGCACCCTCTTTCGCACGCGATGGGCGGGCCCGCCACCGACGGGTCGCGTTTGCACGCGGCGCAAGCTGGTTTCAACGCCGACGCTCTTACGCGAGAAGGCGCGGCGGTCCGAGGCCGAAAGGCGCCGTGGGAGCGCAGTGCGCGGGCGCCGTGGGATCGCCAGCCCGCGGGGTGAGAAGGCCTCGGGGATCCATCTTCGCGCCCTCGGGCCGCCGCCCCG